CTTTCCCTTTCCCTTTGCATTCTAATCTAGCGTGTGCCACCTTGCTTTCCTCAGGTACCCCCCTGCACAGCTAACTCAGCCAGCACTGTGGGATGCACCTTCTCGTGTGTTGTGAGGTCTGTTTTGTTTCTCAGTGTGAGGCTTTCATCTTTCTCCACACTTTTGCTTTTGTGTTCAGTTGTGGTAAAACACTTTCCCACCACACCTTTACTTTGTTAAGAGGAATCTTTCAGAAACAAGCTTCAGTTTATAGTTCCAGGCACTTGAGTTTTCAGACAAGCTTAATCTGTGCCAACCTACATTTTCACTGAAGTTTTGGCACTTGTTTCCCTTCTAATGGAAAAAAATGGTAAGCCAGTCCTAAATTTTTTTTTTAACGTTCATTTTTGAAAGGTTAAAAGATAAATTCTACCTTGTGTGGTGCCTGGTCTAAAAGCTGGTCTCTGCCTGGTGAGGCAGCCAAACCAGGGTCATTATCCCAGCCCTCTTTAGTACACTTACCTGTTTTTCAACTACAGCACCTAAGCCATTAGCAGCAACTCCATAGTAGCTGAGATTGTGGATTGGTACAAGTGCTTAGCCAGCCACCTGCTTTATTTTCATCCTTTCCCTGAGACTTGCACATATTTGGTGTTTCTGTGTTTCCTCTGGTGTCACTGCCTGATCATACGTGGCTCCTGTGTCACATTTCACTGAAACCTTTATTGGTGCATGAAGCATGACTAGATGAAAACTGGCTCTTTTAACCATCAAACTCTTATTGCCAGGGCAGTAGTTTCAGAAGCCCTGCAGGGCATGATGTGAAGGGCAGAGCATGGTTTGCCAGCAGCTCTGCAGCAAAGGGGGCCATAATCAGTACTTTTTTAATGCCAAAGGCATGTTGCTCTTCAGCTTTCTGTGTAGCTTGCCAGTGTTGCCTCCACTGGAATCAATTTGGTCGATCTTCCTTTTTCCCCCCTTCACCCAGAACAGCAAATGGCTCTTCCTTTAACATGCAGCATATCACTAACTGGGTGTGTTTCTTTGTACACAGGTTGGCATCAAAAAAGTCTTTGCTGAGGTTCTTCCTTCTCACAAGGTTGCAAAGGTTAAGGAGCTCCAGAGTGCAAGGAGGAAGGTTGCAATGGTTGGTGATGGAGTCAATGATTCCCCTGCACTAGCCAGGGCCGACGTTGGAATTGCCATTGGCACGGGCACAGATGTTGCCATTGAAGCAGCAGATGTCGTTCTCATCCGAGTGAGCAGCACATTTTTGACCTGTCCTCTTTTATCACTGCCTCTCCTCTTTTTGGTTTGATATTCTGAAGGCTGCAGGTGGAACACCTTCAATGCTCTTCTGTCTTGCAGAACGACTTGCTGGATGTAGTTGCCAGTATTCATTTATCAAAGAGGACAGTTCGAAGAATACGAATAAATCTGATTCTTGCCTTGATTTATAATCTGCTTGGAATACCCATAGCAGCAGGTAGGTGACTGCCAGAGTGCAGCTTGTCAAAGGCAGCAGCACAGCTGAGCTCTGTGGTGTCTCTTGCAGGATTTCCTGCTCAAGGAACCAAAGAGAGGTTCCTAGAGTATTTAAAACTTGGCAGAAAGAAGACAAAATAAATACATTTTAATGTTGCACATAAAAAAAAAAATCCCAAATTTTAAGCTTCCAGGAATAAATTCTTATATGATGAAAATAGTGTTATTTCACATAGCAGTGTATGGGGATTAGTTTCTGTATATTCAAACCCAGCTCTAATCAGAGATACCATCTCAGTTCTGGGTGCTCCCTCTTTTATTCATCCTGAATCATACATTTTTTTCTCCTACTACTTGTATTCTCTCTGATTCTGTCCAACATTTTCTTATGCTCCAAATTCCTCCTTAAAATTTATTTCAAGCATTCATCTTGTTCTTTATGAATAATTTCTCCCTTCTTTGCCTGGACTATGGCCTTGTCTTTCTGTTGCTTTATTTGGTATGTGCAGAATAGCTGGAAGGGACAAATAATCTTACCTTGTGGCTGCAGCCCTGTAGCTACATTGGTACAAAGGTCACCTCTTGCAACAGAAGGGACATGTTTAAAAATAAGTGAGTAAATAGGTATCAGTCTAGTTGTATGGATGGAGGTCTCAGCAAGTCATGTTGTAGAGCTGCTGATCTATGATATGCAAGGACAGGAATGTTCAGACTGGGACAGGTGGCTCTGGCTCATGTCTGTGTGGTTTTTTGCTAGGTGTGTTCATGCCTGTTGGCCTCGTGCTCCAGCCTTGGATGGGATCAGCTGCAATGGCAGCTTCTTCTGTGTCTGTCGTGCTGTCTTCCCTGCAGCTGAAATGGCAAGTTGTCTTATGCTCTCAGTGGGTGATCCACAGGCAGCACTGCTGCTGGGACTCATGTGAGATGTCACTTTGGGCTTTGTACACATGAAAGTGCCTGACAATCCTTTAGCTTGAGGTTCTTCTGTCTAATCCTTGGCTCCCAAAGAGACAGGTGTCACTGTTATGAACACACCCGGGCTAAGACAATACTGAGCATTCTTTAACTAAAAAAATCAGCTAGAAGTGTGACTGGCAGGCACCTGGGCACCTGTGTTGGAGATCTAGCTCAATACCAGGTGAGGTAATGATCAGTACTGGTTTGTGAATATCAAGGGAGCAAATAATTCAAAAGATAGTTTCCTATAATGTAGCAGTAGATGTTTTTTTAAAAGATTTGTACCTGGTTTTATTTTTTCATCTATGTAATTTAGGCAGAGAGAAAGAGAGAAGCAGTGTATTTATTCGTTTGCACCTTGCTACAGATACAGTATCTTACTCTATTTTTTTGGAAGCAAACCAATTTCTGAGCTATAACAAGATTTGTCAAATGCTATTAATTTTATACTACATTTTTTGAGTGCCCTTTTGAGTGCAGTTACAGTGGACCTGTTTTTAACAGCATTGCAAGCAAACATCTTTCAAAAATAAGACTTTTTACAGTGTCTGAACTTAGTCCAAACCTTCAACTATTTCTGTTGTAGCTGGGGTCTTCTGTAACATGTAGTATAACACAGTAAAGTGTAAACTAATATTGCAAGTGCACCCTGAAACACATTTGGCTTCAGATTTAAAGAAGCTGCACTACAGTATACTTTGTAGGACAATAATCTCCCCTGAGACTTCATCCAAACAGAACTTTAGATTCCAAAGAAGGTGGTAATACCTATATGTGAAGAAGACCATGCACACTTGATGTTGCTGGGCTTTTTTTGACCTAGAATACATTGAATCAGAAAGTGATTTTGGGGTCATTGGGTCCATTTCCCTGCAATTGATGACTATGAGCCCTTCCATGTTTCAGCAATCTCAAGATTTTTTCTTAAAGAACACCACTTTGAGGGCCATCTCTTTTACTATTGATGTGCCCTAATGCTGTGTGAGCAGTACTCTTAGCCATTAACATTGTGTCTGAAGTGCAGGTTACATTTAGGTTATCAGAAGTTTCTGATCTGTTCTAATGCTGAAAACACTTCACCAGCTTGACCTCTTGGTGCTGAACATCTTTTCTCTTTCTCTTCTTAGTTATAAGAAACCAGAGGCAGAAAGTTATGAAGCACAAGCTCAAGGCCGCATGAAGCCACTTACTCCTTCCCAAATCAGTGTTCATATTGGAATGGATGACAGGAGGAGGGATTCATCCAGACTGGCTCCTTGGGATCAGATTAGCCAAGTGTCTCTCTCTTCCTTGACTTCAGACAAGCTGCCAAGACATAATGGTTTTGTTGAGGAGGAAGGGGACAAGTGGTCATTGCTCATGAATGGAGGAGATGAAGAACAGTACATCTGAAGCACTGTATTAGTGGAGGAGGAAACATTCCTCCTCACCAGTGATGAGAGAGACCAATTTATTTAATAAAAGAGCTTCAAGGTTCTAAGTGAAGTCATTCCATCAGCTCACAAAACAACTGCAGCTCAGCTCGATGTTGGGTTGTATGGATTTTGTTGTTTGCTTGCTGGTTTTTTTCAGGTCATCAGCTATTTCTAGTTATGGAAAGAATACGTGGCTCTGTAATGAACTGGCTCCTTTACATGCACCAATTGGTGTAATAATGTAAGACCACAATTTTCAGAGTCTAAAAGTTTCTCTTTTCTGGTTTGCTGGGCACCAAATTTAATACTTTTCACCCTTTCTAACTTTATTCTTTCAGGTTCACATGAAGCAAAAGTCTTTTCAGAGCTGCCAAATATTAATTTCTGTGTCCAGGTGAAAACAGCCACAGCACAAGGGATTCTGTGATGGGAAGCTGTATTTTTACACAGAATCCTAACTAGTCACGTCACTCTGAGAGTGTGTTATAGTTAGGATTCATGTGTGTCTCCTTGGACCAAAAATGTTTTGGTGTTTCACTAACTATAACTCTCTGAAAGGTCTTTCAAGGATTTTTCACTTACTTTCAGGTATCCCATCCTCTTTTCCCCCCTTTCTTTGCACAAGGTATTTTCTGTGAGTTATTTATATGTTCACAAATATTCCTGTTTGGGACAAACTCCTTTAAATCTCTGGTTACTCTTCCATTCCTATAGAAGTCCATAAAGGCAGAGCAATTCCTGGTCCTAGTTAGCAGATCATTTTCTGGTGGATGCTTTGCAGGACCTTGTGAAGCTCCTGTCAGTTGGGCAGTTGTCTGTCTCTTCCCTCTGGCAGAGTGGAGAATTTATGCCAGTGTGAGCAAAGGTGGTGTTTACCACGGTGTGGCTGAGAGCAGAAGTAGCAGTGGTGTGACTCCAGCATGGCTGAACGGAGTGAATTTATTGCATAAGTCAACCCCATCTTGCTGGCTGCTTAAAATGAAGCCAAAAGTTTAAAGGGTGAAGGTGGAAAAATGGCCTCAAAATGTGGTGCTTCTATTTGCTGCTGTATAAATAACCTTTTCTGATGGCAGACTTGAAGTAAGAAGATTTATAATAGCTTGAAATTTTATGTAAATTTGTATTCATGTTTTGATTTGATTTTAATTTCCCTCTTTGTTCTAGTATAATGAGAAACCAACATGCTGAACAACCTTTTATTTTCACTTCAATGTCTTTACCAAAGCTTGCAGTAACTTTATCACTGTGAATGTCCAATTCATCCCTTAACACTTTTTGGAGTCAGGACAGTAGAATCAGCAGCTTTGGTGCAGTGAATCCAGTCCCAGGGTGCCACGTTGCTCAGCTGTAGGGCTCTGAAATAAGCAGACCACAATTTTATAGTCTCATCCTAAAAGTGAAAAAAAAAGAGGAATTGCTATACTAAACAATGTGAAATGAGCACTTATTGACAATGACTTAATTACAGAGCTGTTTCCAACATGGGTTCAAATCCTGCTCCTCCTCATGTGAAACTCCAAAACAGGTCAGAGAGGAAACAAATTGTGCTTAAAGCATTGGGCAAGTCTTCCTAGTCTCTCTTCCTTTTACTAGCATATTTGAGCTCTCCTTAGCAAACATCAGCTGCACTGTAGTAAAGAGAATTACAAATAGTTTTTTAAACTGTATATCTCTTTATATGTGTAGAGATGACTTCCACAGCACACACACACTTCAAACATGCCATAGGTGCCTATACCTGTCCCTGGGGGGAAGATGGTCTTCTCTTAACTTGTTTTAAGTTTTCTTACCAGTGCTTACAGTAGAAATATTGTGGGGTTTCATTTAAAAACAAAACAAAACAAAACAAACACCACACCAAAAAGCCCCAAATAAGCAACTTTGAGTCTTTGCTTGCTTTTTTTTTTAAAAAAAAAATACAGCAAAAATTAAAATTGAGAAACTGGACAGAACTGACAAACTTTGCCAACAGGAAAGAGAGGAATGAAAGTTCAGCTCAGCACAAAACAGTCCAGGAGCTGGCTGGTATTCCTTTTGTGACCTATTCTAACAACATCGTGGTGCTCCAAAACGAACAGAAAAATTGAGCTGTATAAAGACTGTGTCATCCATATGACATAAAATACCTCCTGCTGTTCAGCTCTAGAGATGCATCAGCCAAAGGATCAGCTTCGGTTTGATACGTCATACTTGTTAGGAAAAACTAGACAGGTCAGAGAAGAGCCATGATATTTAACAGAAATCTAGCAGCTGTGAGAACATAAGTACATGAGAATGAGAAATATAAGAAGACTGAAGGAGTTTGAGTAGGTTTGCCTACAGAATACTCAAAGGAAATAAAAGTCTCCAAACACAAAGAGAACAATTTATTCCTTTCATCTTTTCAGTGTCTTTTATGTACATGGGGGCTAGAGCAAGAAATAATAGGCTTATTGAGTCAAAGAAGATTTAGATTAGTCACCAGGGAGGAATTGTGTAACAGGAAAGATTATGGAGCACAGGAAGAGATCGCCGGGGGCTCGGGGGGAGCTCTTTGGATGCACATGGCAATCATGCCCCTCTCTGATGGAAATGCACTAGCCAGAGGTGAATCCTGCCCCAGGGCAGGCAACTGCCCCGGACAATCTCCTGACCTGCTCTACAGCTGGCTTTTGGCTTGTTTCTGTGAACATAATGTGAACTGGAAAATTACTGGAGCAGAGGGCTGATCACACTGCCCTGCTCTCAAGTGGTGCCAAAGGACTGGAAGAAACTGGCTTTGATTTTACTTAATAACTTGAAATGAACTGGAAAATATGCTGAGGTTTCCTAACTATCTGCATAGCGTGTTAGACTGCAAACTGCTGTGAAACTTGTGCAAAGGCCTGTAAGGAAGTCAGAATAGCTCCACAGAGTCAAGAAAAAGAAATGTGCTAGCCCTGATGTTTGTGTTCACATCCTCTTCTTAAACTTGAGCTGGCTCACTGGAGTGGCACGTGAGCTGGAGGACAGCATCTGCCTTCTGCATAACATGAGGATGGGTTGTCCTGCAGGGTGCCCAGCAGAGCGAGGTGCTGGCCTGTGGCTGGTGCTCCTCTGCACTGGTGAGCCACGGCCGGTGCAAGGGCTGGAGGAAGCTGCCTGAGAGAAGGGGCTCTTGGGGCAATCCCTAAGCTTGGTGCCCCAGCCACTCACCAGCACACCACGCGTCTCCTTTCTTCCCAGGACCTGGTGTTTGGATGGATTAGACAGCGTGGAGGAACTTCTCAAATCCCAACTTTGGTCTTAAGTATCTACATTCTGGGTTTTCTCCCAGAATGACTCAATTACTGCTGATCTGACCCTGATGTTGATATATCTGATGATTTATGTGGGACATCTAGTTATTTTGCCCTGGGAAAAGTTTGTGAGTCTTTTCCTGGAACTTTTTTTTTTGTAATGATCAAAGAAGACACCTAATGAATCAGATCTTTTACTTTGGCTTTCAGTGCAGCAGCTCAGGAGCAGCATTTTAACTATTTTCTTTCTCGTGCTATAGTTTTGCCATAAAATTTTGGTGCCCTAAGTTCACAGGCAATAACTTTTTCCATTTAATTTCCTCCTCCCCTCCACCTTTTTCAAGCAAATTAACTGTCTGATTTCCATCCAAGATGATTACAACCTTTCTGTGACTAAATATTCTTCCAAAGGTTGTTTTTCTCTCTAAATGCACTTGTGTGTGAAGGAAACAAATGAGTAGGTGGTGAAATTATACAGTGGTGTACAGGGGTGGGAAATCAGATAACGCTGAAATGTCAGATTTAATTTCCTCTAGTAAGACGCCAACAGCAAGCGTGTTGGTTTTCAGTGGGAAATCATCTGAGAGTCACAACAAAAGAAGAAATGGTGAAGCACAAAGCATCCTGCTCACACGTGTCTCAGAAAGGCACAAGTGTGGGAGGAGGAGGATTAATTCCTCTCCCTGTGTCGAGTTCAAAGCACCCAGGTTTGCAGGCAAGCACGACCTGTCCACACGCTCTCCATGCAAAGATGTGATTTTCATTTCTTTATCTCCATGCATGAAAGGATGATTTTGAAGTTTCTCCTGGTGCTGCAGGTGAAGGGTTGTTGCAGCAGGAAGTGTGTTTGTTTCCCTTCTTTGGGCGTTCAGCTGCCCAGGGTGGAGGGAAGTCCCCTGGAGTGCTGGTCAGAGCTGTGGTCCAGGGGTGTTGGTTCAGGTTGGGGGGCTGTGTTACCTGGCAGCCAGCACCTCACCTCAAAGGGGACCATGAGATGTCACTGCAGGTCCAGCCCGAGCCAGAGGGTCCCCTTAGTCTGTAAAGCATCTGAAGATCCAACCCATTCACTGCTGGGTAGCAGTGAGGGGGAAAAAAACCACAGAAGGGTCAGTTTAAGTCAAATCATATAGCATGGCTAAAATTTGGGGCTGACTTGACATTACATAGCCCAGGCTATAGTATTTATTTCCCTTGAGCTTTGAATTGATACATGGTATTATTTGACACCTCAGTAAATCCTGAGCTCTGTATATGGTGTCTGCTGAAATGATTGTCAGCTTTCTTTCTCCTTTGGCAAGCTGAGATTCAAGAGGAGAAGCAGTGCTGCAGGAGGGCAAAGCATGATGCCTGCACCCTCAGAACAAACCTGCACCTTGTGAGGTGAGCTTAAGCTCCCCAGGCAGCTCAGGGTGCCAGACTGCTTGGTTGCTTGGGTTTTTATTTTAAGCAGACCCTTACCCGAGGAGAAGTCACTGTGTAGACCCACCATAAGGTTCCAGGAATGTTTCTGCTCAGGGGAGCACCAAAGCACAAGTCTAAATCCTTTTGGAGTCGATGCAGATGAGGCACATGCTCAGTGCTCCTCTGAACCAGAGCTGCATGTGTCTCATGGCAGATGCAAAAAAAATAAATTAGGCATAAATCTGAATATTTGAGGCCTTCAAACACTTAGGGAGCTACCCAAAATCTATACTTAAAAATGAATAAGTAGACCAGGTTT